TCTGGTCAGATGAAACCAAAATCAAACTTTTTGGCAACAATGCAAAACGTTATGTTTGCTTTTAAAGTAACAGTGCTCATCACCTTGAACATACCATCCCCACTGTCCAACATGGTGCTGGCAGCATCTGCTTTTCTTCAGCAGGAACAGGGAAGATGGTTAAAATTAATGAGGATGGATGGAGCCAAATACAGGACCATTCTGGAAGAAAACGTGATGGGGTTTGCAAAAGACCCGACACTGGTAGGAAAATTTATCTTCCAACGAGACAGTGATCCAAAACATAAAGCAAATCTACAATGGAATGGTTTAGAAATAAACATATCCAGGTGTTGAATAGCCAAGTCAAAGTCCAGACCTGAATCTAATCGAGAATCCGTGGAAAGAACTGAAAACTGTAGTTCACAAACGCTTTCCATCCAACCCCTCTGAGCTCCAGGTGTTCTTCAATAAAGAATGAATAAAATTATAGTTTCTCGATGTGCAAAACTGATAGACATACCCCAAGCGACTTGCATCTGTAACCGCAGCAAAAGGTGGAGCTACAAAGAATTAACTCACGAGGGGTGAATAAATTTGTACACCCAATTCTTCGTTTTTTCTATTTGTTCTATTTCTATTCTATTTGTTAAAAAAGTTAAAAATATAAAATAAATTCACCCCACATAATTGTGTCCCACTTGTTCAGTTCAGAAAAAATTAACTATTTTATATCTTTATGTGTGAAGCCTGAAATTCAGCATAGATGCTTGGCGGCCCATTCAAATACAGGCAGATTTGTTACAGACCCGAACACTTTTGGTTATTTTTCACAACCTTTAAAAAAGCTTACTGTTTGAGAGGTTGTACTATATATTATATTTCCGTTGTTAACCGTGTGAAATGTGTTTTATTTTTTTGATTTAGAGCCTGTTTCAATCATTGTTGATAACTTTTATATGTGTTAATGTTTTGCTTAAATAATCAAAGATGAGTGGAGCAAACTAAGTTTAGATTTTTTACTAACATAACGGGTGTTAAGTATCAGTGGATGTAGTCTTACAAATACTTACCTCTTTACATTAGTATTTATTTTATGCATTATGCTATGTATAACTGCATCTAACAAATTCATTATTTTATTTGTCTCAAACATATTCCTCATTATTGTTACTTAATTCTAGGTAGAAGCAGAAATGATGAAATTGTGATATCAAATCTATTGTCTATTTTCCTGCATTTTAACATGGTTTTGAAATGTCTATGGCAAGGATCAGCATTCCACGGCTCCAGAGACACATGCTGCTCTTAAATGCCCCCCTTGCGGCTCCTTTGAGCTTTTTCAAAAATATATGATGGAAAGAGATGGATTTTTTCATTTATTTGTTTTCATATGGTGTGAGGGAGGTCAAACAAATATTCCTTATGTTTCCAATGCTGTAAAAAATTTTATAATAAATAAACTTAAATAATAAATTTTAACATCTCTGTCAAGGAAGAATTGCGTAATAGCCTGTGAAACAGGTTTCAGTGCGGCTCGATGCAGTACCAGGCAGGTGGCTGTTGTAAAAAAAGCGGCAGGTGTGTCTCTGGACATGGATCCCACAGGGGAAAAAAGCAAGATAGCTGATGAGAACAGAGGGTTCAGAGAAGAATTGACAACATTTGCTTTTATTACCAAAGCGGAAGGATTGCCTGCATGTTTTCTTTGTGATTAGAAGTTGTCAAATAATAAAAAAAAACGTCATTTGCAAAAGCCTTTCCAGGGAAGGCATGCCAATTGTGCAGCCAACCACAAAGTTGGGAGTGAGACAAAAAGTGTGATTGCAGAACGTCTGGATAGAAAAAATAGGAGAACAAAGATAGATTTAAAAAGTGGAGTGCATTGCCAAACTCCACTAAAGCTGCTAGTTATGTTGGAAGCATTGAAAACCATTTACAGATCAAACAGGTAGCTCTCTTATGCAAGCATGTGAACTTCTTTTTTTCCCCTCCAAATTCTCAAAACAAAAATAACATCAAAAATCTGATTTCTTTATTGTGTTTCTATAATTTCATCAATGCAATAATATATCAGTTTTGTAAAGGAATTTAAACTTAAAGCACCAAATATATTACAGCAGACTGGTTACATGATGTGACATTTGCTTCAGGATAAACATTTAAACATGAGTGCTTATTATACAGGTGCTGGTCATAAAATTAGAATATCATGAAAAAGTAGATTGATTTCAGTAATTCCATTTAAAAAGTGAAACTTGTATATTATATTCATACATTACATACAAACTCATATATTTCAGATGTTTATTTTGTTTAATTTTGATGATTACAAATGACAACAAATGAAAATCTCAAATTCATCATATCAGAAAATTAGAATATTACTGAAGACCAATAAAAACAAAGGATTTATAGAAATGTTGGCCAACTGAAAAGTATGAACATGAAAAGTATGAGCATGTACAGCACTCAGTATTTAGTTGGGCCTCCTTTGGCCTGTATTACTGCAGCAATGCGGCGTGGCATGGAGTCGATCAGTCTGTGGCACTGCTCAGGTGTTATGATAGCCCAGGTTGCTCTAATAGTGGCTTTTAGCTCTTCTGAATTGTTGGGTCTGGTGTATTGCATCTTCTTCTTCACAATACCCCATAGATTTTCTATGGGGTTAAGGTCAGGAGAGTTTGCTGGCCAATTAAGAACAGGGATACCATGGTCCTTCAACCAGGTACTGGTAGCTTTGGCACTGTGTGCAGGTGCCAAGTCCTGTTGGAAAATGAAATCTGCATCTCCAAAAAGTTGGTCAGCTGCAGGAAGCATGAAGTGCTCTAAAACTTCCTGGTATGTGGCTGCGTTGACCCTGGACCTCAGAAAACACAATGGACCAACACCAGCAGATGACATGGCACCCCAAACCATCACTGACTGTGGAAACTTTACACTGGACTTCAAGCAACGTGGATGAAGTGCCTCTCTTCTTTTCCTCCAGACTCTGGGACCTTGATTTCCAAAGGAAATGCAAAATTTACTTTCATCAGAGAACATGACTTTGGACCACTCACCAGCAGTCCAGTCCTGTTTCTCTTTAGCCCAGGCAAGACGCTTCTGACGCTGTCTGTGGTTCAAGAGTGGCTTGACACAAGGAATGCGACAGCAGAAACCCATGTCTTTCATACGTCTGTGTGTGGTGGTTCTTGAAGCACTCACTCCAGCTGCAGTCCACTCTTTGTGAATCTCCCCCACATTTTTGAATGGGTTTTGTTTCACAATCCTCTCCAGGGTGCGGTTATCTCTCTTGCTTGTACACTTTTTTCGACCACATCTTTTCCTTCCCTTCGCCTCTCTATTAATGTGCTTGGACACTGAGCTCTGTGAACAGCCAGCCTCTTTAGCGATGACCTTTTGTGTCTTGCCCTCCTTGTGCAAGGTGTCGATGGTCGTCTTTTGGACAACTGTCAAGTCAGCAGTCTTCCCCATGATTGTGTAGCCTATAGAACTAGACTGAAAGACCATTTAAAGGCTTTTGCAGGTGGTTTGAGTTAATTAGCTGATTAGAGTGAAGCACCAGGGGCCATCAATTTTGAACCTTTTCACAATATTCTAATTTTCTGATATGATGAATTTGAGATTTTCATTTGTTGTCATTTGTAATCATCAAAATTAAACAAAATAAACATCTGAAATATATGAGTTTGTATGTAATGTATGAATATAATATACAAGTTTCACTTTTTAAATGGAATTACTGAAATCAATCTACTTTTTCATGATATTCTAATTTTATGACCAGCACCTGTATATTTAAGCCCACATAGACCTTTTTTTTAGTGGGCCAACACACTTTGAGCCATGCGAGGCTTATATAAGACTTTTACATTTTTGCGGCTCCAGACAGTTTTGGTTTTTTGGTCCAATATGGCTCTTTGAATGGCTTGGATTGCCAACCCCTGGTCTATGGAAATGCAAGCATGAGCAGCTAACGTCCCTCGATCCATTTAAGCTACTTGCGTCACCATTGCTCTTTGAAATGTTGCCCATTGTCACCAATGGAGTTGTCAGAACTCTCTTATGCAATGATAAATAAGCAATGGTGTTTTGTAGGGGTGGGCTAACAGTGGGAAAATATTCTAGTTGCATGTAATTCCATGTAAACTGAGTATTATTATTGCGGTAACACATTTTTGCACTGTTATAGATTAAAAAAAAATTCTATGTGCTAAAAGTTTTGAAAATTCTTTCAACCACTAAGTCCTAGTATGAAAGGTGCACAGACTTTTATGGATGAGGCCAATTTTTTCCTTTTTTTTGTGCTAAATCTATCTGAGGTGCTTCCATCCATCCATTGTCAATACCAACCATTCCTTGCACAGAAACGGTGGAGTTTGTGCATATCACCAACAAAACTACATAAGAAAAGGGCAAGGCAAATTCATTTGTATTGTGCAGTTCAGTGCAGGACAATTCAAAGTACATATCCAAACTTACTGTTTATGTAGTTCATTTTCCTCTGTGCTTTATTAAATTAGTCATACCAACTCGATTGATACTCATGTTTCTGTAATTCCTCTTTTTATTTAACCTGTTTCCACTGACAGCTGGTATGTGACGTGCTCAGCTGCTCCATACATGAAAACAACTTGTAAAAACAATTTTCATCAACGGCGCAATCCATTTGCCTAAATAAAGTGAATTACAATGTGGATGTTCCTCCCTCCTTAGGGATTTTATGCCATCTGTTAGTCTGCTATTACAGATGGAATTATTTTAATAGACTCATTACAATTCATAAACAGACAAAAAGAAAAGCTTTAAAGCAATCCTGATTCAAGTGAGTGACTCATCTTTTTTTCTATTATCAATAAGTAAGTTAAGGTTATTTTCAGAAGCCTGAATTATGCCTCACCAAAACTTAATAAGGTAAAATAGGAGTGATTTGCATCATTTTGACAGGATGGGTGGATGTAAATAAAAACAATCAATCAAAGCCTGTGATGTTGACCACTTGAGTCGCTTTCACTCACCTTCAGCCTCTTGGAAGAGCCTTTGTTGGCTGTAGCTGCCCATAAGCTCATATTTGCTTTTCTCTTCACTCTGTAACACAGACAAGAGAGCACATGTAAACATAATGGAATATCGTGACCATACCACGAACATGGATTTATTACATAAGGCTGGTTTTCTTCTTTTTTTCCAAATCAGTGGAGATGTCATAAGGATTTGTGGGCAGAGTGGATGAGCAAGATTTACTGAGAACATAGAGCCATGTCTCACTTGTAGACAGTCTGTCTGAGGTATTATTATCTAAGCCTAACAGTGTCTTTCAGTCTGCAGCTCTGTAATTCTGGATAACTGACAGCAACTGTGCTGGGAAAATTGCTCAAGAACCACAGCTATTTTGATTTCAGCCTCGATGGAAAGCAGTGGCCTGCATTGTGCTCGCCTTGATCCAGAACAAAATGTGAGTTATTTCTAACAAAGACATTCATCTGAGCAAAATCATCCCTGTTGGATAATAAACCAACCATTTTGATTTATCATATTTTCTATTAAAATAATCTGTTATATATTTGTTGCCATCAGAGCAATGAAATCCTTTTTATTAATGCTGACCAGGCCTTTTTTATTTTTCCACTGGTACTTTGACAATTAATCTTTGGTGATGAGTTACAAGTCTTTGAAATTAGAATACATCTCTTCCATCACGCTAATAATTACCTCCCTCCATATATTTCCTGTCATATATTTTAAACTTTGGTTCGGCCACATGTTGGAAAAGTCTTACATAGACTGAACCAACAAAAACTCAAGTGAATTGTGTGACTGCAAAATAAATAGACAATTTTAACTAATTACATTGTTGACATAATATAAAAATGTTTAACTAGATACCGATGATAAGAACTATACTTACAACTTATAATTTTCTGATACACACGCAACCTTTTTTAAAAGCATATGGAATCCCCTTATAAAGAGCAGAGAACACAACTAATTACTGTATGACAATATTTATCAAAATTATTAAGTTTTAGCAATTTCAATCCATTTCGAGTAAAAACTTAAAAATGTAGATTTGTTTTAGAAAAAAAACAGTAGATCTGATAACATTGGGTATGTTTTAATATAATTCGTTGACATGTACTTTGATTCGGCAAATCAATTAACCAGACTTGTATTATTATGGTGTAAGCATGGATTTTTTTTTTATTTAATGTTTTTTTTTTATGTAAAAAAATGGTTTGTAACAGCTACATATAAATCAGTACATGCCAGCATATACAGCGTGTAAAGCACGAATATATGATATTATTGGATACCATAAAGTCAATCTAATTCGATGAAATGTGGCTTTAATTCCCCACCTCACCTCTTCTGTGTCACTATCTGTGTCACCATGATGATGAAGGTGATTAAATTAGAAACCCAGCGGAACAATGCCAGAGGGACAGGTAACGATGAGGATCCAGAATAAAAGAGACCAGAAGGCAGAATATTAAAAGAACCAACTAGAAAAAGGTGAAGAATTATTAATTGAAAACACAAAAAGGTGCAACTCATGGCATGAAAAACCTTTAAAAGATTTATCTAAATCAGCTTAATAAAATATAAGGAGGTTGTGAAATAAACTGCTCAACACCTCCAGTCAAGAAGGTGGCGGTGATATAAAACCAAAGGCCAGAAAAGGAAACACTAGCCGAGAAGTCCATATTCTGCCATTTGTCCATAAAACAAGATAAAGAACACTGTTGCTATGTATCCACTTTCTTTAGATCATTCTGGATCACAAAACATACTGTATCCCACAATTAATCAGAGTTTTATCTTTTCAGCCCACTTCCTTTGTTTCCCAAATTATTTGGCTTCTTTAAAGCCCCGCCTCAAGCATGCAGTTAAGGATCCTCACCTGTTTCCACTGCCATTGTGGCTTGCTGCTGGTGTCTTCTCAACATATTCATCTGAAATATTTAACCCTATTGATCTGATTGCTGGGTGAGTTTATTTGATACATTATTATTTTTCCTTGTGGTATTTCTGCTCGATTGCCCATTAGAAGCATTGGCATTGTTTACCTGGACCGTCGTTGGGATTCTGCCAGAGCTGATTGTGGCTAAGTACACCCCGCTCTCTTTGAAAAGGTAACTTGATTGCTAATTTTTTGTGCGTGTTTGACACGTTTACCTTGATTCCGAAGCAGTTTAAAACAAGATTGATCTGAACAGTGTAGCTATACTTAAGTTGATATCATGCAGTATGTATATTTATTTTATTTTTTTCCTTTCTCTCACTCTGCTTGAGTATTTGACAATTTGTTTTATTTTTCTTAATTGGTATTTTGAAAGTGCACTTTAACTTTAAATTGATTAAGCTTTATATTAGATACTTTTTTTGTTTTACTTTATTTGAATTATGGCTAATTTAAACTGAATGTTTGTCTAATTATTAGGAATATAATTATTGCATTTGTATTTAGTATGCATAAATTAAATTATTAGATTTAGTAATTGTTTCCTTTGTATTATATTTGCATTTAATTGTTTTTGAAAGAAATTAATGGGTTTTTCTGACCTTTTAGGTCAGGGGGTTTTTTTTATCCTGACGGATCAGATCCTCATCTGGATCTGAAGATGGCGAGTTAGACATGGACTACGGATTTTATGATTTTGAAATTAATTTTTGAGTCAATTCTCTTGTGTCTCATCGTATGGCTGTAATTGTCTTTTTTTTATTCACCTAATCTACATCCATTAAACCTAAAAGCACTTCCTGCTGTTTTTTTTCCACACCTCAGGCTCCTTAAAAGGACACTCTTCTGATGCTGCATTTGTAGCCACAGTTAGCTGCCTAGCCTAATAGTGTTACAATATCTTTAAAGGTCATAGCAACAATTTTTTCATCAAAACGATACATTTTTCAATCATATTGCATAATCATATCACTTTGCAACAGGTCACGAGAGATGCAGCTCAGGTGATATCCAGATGCTAGTGGCTTGGTCTTAATTTTCTCAGATTCAAGCCAAAAAAGAACCAAAACTAGTGTTACCATACTTTTCAGTGTTGATGCCAAGCAAAGAGGCTCGGAAGCTACTTGGAGGAACAAAAGCAAGCGTGCACAGTTGCTCCGCTTTAAACTTGTAGCTTTCACCTTCAAATCAGAATTTCCTTCCTGTATGAGTGACTTGTGATCTGCTTTGAGGTCAGGGCCAGATTGTTTTAGAGCTGACAAAGTAGCAATTTAATAATCAAGCAAGTTTTAAGATGCCTCTAGTAACACTAAAAAAAACGAAAAAAAAAAACCTATTAACTTCTTCCTGTGTGACCAGGCCCCTCCCCAACGCAAAGAAGTCTTTCCTGATAAAGCTGGTGCCTTCTGATTCGTTTACTTTAAGAACAGGAGCTAAACTGTACATTCTTTTAACAATCACCTCACTTATATTTTCCCTTGATGAACTATTTAGGTAATAAAGTCAGATTGTTTAAAATGTTAAAAAATGTATGGCTACAATTACAGCTCAGTTGTGGCCTCTTTTTAGGATCCTTATTGGAAACTGAAGCCAAGTCTCTGAAAATTCTTAAACTAAACCTGATTTAAAAACTTAAAAGTAGTTTACAGATTATTTACTCAATTCAACACTGGAAAAGATCAACCAAAAAATTTGTCTACAACCACAAAGAGCAACAAAAATATAATCATTATCTTGAATTTGGGATTAATAATACCTGTAACAATAAAACAGCTGAAGATCCAGATATATGATCCATTACACAGTTACAGTCGAAATGTGTGAACAGCTGATAGCATAAAGCCGCTCATAGAATTGTATCAACCTACCTCTGGGTGTTTCTCTGGCACCCGATTCTCCATGATCTCATAAGCTGGATCAGCTTTGCGCCTCTCTTCTTTACTAGTAAACTTTTTTTCTGGCAGAAAGAAGGAAATTCATTTTTTTAGTAAAGCCATGCTATAAAATAGAAAAATACCTAGAACAGAGATTGTATTGTTGTTGGGGTAGCTTTATGAGAAGATTTGTTTTGCAAATCAACAAAATGTCTTAATTTTGTAATTAAATATCTCTCACATTTAGTTGCAAAGCCCAATGACATTCAAAATAGAAATAGCTTATAATTTTAAAATATCTTTAGCAACCATCTGATTTTTCTCAATGTGAGGAAAGTTTGCCCCATTCCTGACCTTCAGCTCTGAGATGTCTGCAGGGTTTCCTGCATGTTGATGTGTGGTATGTTTTGAGTCCATTTCTTCTTTTAGACCCTTAAGGAACCCTAAACAGCTCACATAAAGCTGCCCGTCTTCTGTGACTGTAAGCTGGTCAGGCTCTGTTACAAAAGGCCATCACCAAGCCCTGACACTTAAACCTTCATGTTTTGTAGCCGAGGATTTATTATTCTTAAATGCTGTTTTTGGTTAATCAATTAACTTAACTCTGTTTACGAGGTTATCACATTTAAGTGTGTTTAATATTAATTGAGTTTAAGAAAGGAATGATTGAGATGGCGGATAAATTTGTTCCTCACCTAATTATGTATTTCTTACTACAAATAAGAAAGATTTCAAAATTATTTTTAGGTTATTTATATTGTTTTATAATTTATTAAACACAAAAACATTCAATATGTTAAAAGCAAACAAGGTATCAAGGGGTATGCTATTTTTTTACATGACTGTGTATGCTCAAATACACAACAATATGTTTTGTTAACTGTGTTTTACCAACCCAAGCCAGCGTGATGAAAACAGAGCGTTAGATCAAAAACACTTGGAGGGAGAAATCATTCTGTTAGTAACAGAAAGAGGTTCACACATGCTGTTAAAGATGGTCAATATGCACAGTAGCTAAATGTCTGTTTAGTCTTCTTCTCCACATGTACAAGAAAAATAGCTAATTACATCTTTATAATGCAAAGACTCTAAAAGCTAAAAACAGGGTTTTATAATGTCCAACACAGATGATGATAACCCTAAAAGAAGTTCTGAAAGTAAATGTGTTTTTTTTTTTTTGCTCCCAAGACATAGTTATTCACTGACCATCTTGGGCTGATATTATTATAGTAGCAATATGTGGTCAGATGACTATTTGCTCAGTTACCCTGAAAAGGGCTCCACCTCCCATGCAGTGAAAACCTCTTGAAGAGTGTAGCGTACTGAAGTAAGAGAATCTTCATCATTGCAGACAGAGCGTCTGCATAGCATTGCATGATTTTAGCTGATCATTACTGGCTAGCTGCTGCTAAACCTGAATGGGAGCTGAGTTAACTTTGTAGAGAGGGTGCAACTGTACTACAATTTAAATGTCTTGTTTGTCATGCATTATAAAAGACATTGTTGTTCAAGAACATTCAAAGAGGTCTGGGGAAGTTGGAAATCAACATACCTGTCCAACGTTAATAGTCAATGAACATAATTATCTTAAACAGCATATCTACTTATAGCATTTTGAACAAAGAGGATACAGAATAGTGGAAGGGGGAGTTACCATTACCTACTTTTTTTACTAGCTGTCACACTTTAACACTCTGTTCTAATTTCTTTAGCACAAATCTAAAATATAAAATGATGACAAAGTCAGAAAATACTTCTAACAAGGTGATTTCTAAAGACCAATAGATCAAAACTTTTAGATTTTACTCTTCTTTTGTCCTTTCTTTAATGACTTTTATTTTCACACAAGTACGCAAAGTCAAATACACATTCACTGTCAGCTTGTTTATCATGAGTTCAAATTTGAAATGATGGCTCCTCGAAAGCTGAATCTTAATTTGTGGTCTTCCAGAATGTTGACATGTCTAGAGTATTTTTAGCCATACATTTTAAGAGGATCATTGGAAGGTACAATATACACCTAACGCCTTAAATTATCATGATCGTGTATAACATCTAGGAATTTAATGGTTTTCAAAACAAGCATGGTACCCAGTATCTCATCCTTTAGATTTCATCAAGTTGTTGATTAACCATAAAAAGCATTAATTAGAAATGTGTTTGACTAGTATAAAAATCATAATTCTATACTTGAGCATATTTAGGTTTAGACGAGTTTGAATGTAAATGACAAAAAAAAAAAATAGCCACACAATCAGTGATTCAATAAGCAGAAAATAGTAAAAGGAAAAGGCAGTGAAAAGAATGAAGTCAAGATCCTCTTCAGAGGCACAAAGGATACCAGGGGTCTGTCTCTCTTACCTCCATTTCCTGTTGAATCATTTACATCTTCAGGCTGACACATCTCATCAGCATCTCTGAGGAGTTCACGAAGCAGCTCCTCATCAGCAGTACTGTCACTAACTTGGCTTTTCTTCACGTATAGCTCAGTTGGGACGCTTTGACATCCGGAAATACCCCTGCTGGGGGGCATTTTAGCAGGCGTGACCTGTAGCAGAGGTTGGCAGAGCTCTCCTTGACACTTCAAACAGTTTTCATAAATGACGGCTCTTTTGTTCTGCTGGGAGTCCCAAAGTGGGTTAGCTGGTGCCATGGTGAGCCTATTTGCTGGAGCTGGGCTCATTGACTCGTACAGGCTGGGTGTGTGTGGTTGGCTGCCTGCACTTAGAAAGCTGAACAGATCAGATAAGAAGTCTGCTATGTTTTTCTCTCCTCTCTTTGGGAGCATCGCATCCTCCCCTGGCTGCCCTCTCGATGACTCTGCGATGCGTCCATTAGTGGTACAGGTCTTTTCCAGAATACTCTTCACTGTAATGGTTTGCATGACAGTGCATGGCTGCTAGATCAGTGAGTTTTCCCAGCATGCATCAACACTTCTGTTCGTGCATGGGCAAAAGAATACATGCGCCACAGTTAGAAAGCTTTAGAGAGATTTCTTACCTGGTAGGGTTGGCATCACAGAAGAACCCATTTGAATGTAGTGATTACCCTATGAAGTAAAGAAGGTAAAAAATGTTTTTTCTCTCATATGAAGCTACTTTAGAGTCCTTTGGCACGTTATGATTTACTTTATGATATTATGCTAATATTATTTTAGAAATAAATGATTGGCTGCGAGATTAAATCCAAAAATATTAACAAATTAGCTGGGAGAATCATGTTTTTGATTGATTTACGATCCCCTGAGACAAATTCCAGCGGTTGATGAAAGAAATAAGTTGATGTAATGTTGGAAAATACTCATTTGATAGTTATAGTAGTTAAACACATTTGTTAGTTCATCAGTTTCATTGCAATTACACATAAATAGCAATTTGGTCATTTATATAGCATCAGATCAACACATCCAGATGTACTGAAAACCAAGTTTAAACCAATCATTAAATTAGGAATTAAGACAGTTTATGTGACTTTGAATTTTTAAGCTTGTTTGAGAAACTCAGAAACTCCTGAGTACATATATTTACATTCATCAGAAAGGGAATGTGTGCCTGAATGTATGAATGACTGAATGTGGTGTAAAACGCTTTGGAGTACCCTTACCCCAAGGCACTATATCAGCTGTTCACTATTTACAACACTACGTGTGTTTACATCATATGATATGAAATAGAGAAAAACTCAAGTAAATTCTAGTTGTGTGGATTAAAAACACAGTGGTGATGTTAAACGAGAGTCCAAAGACTGACACAAAACGAAAGGCTGCAGTAGCCTTAATAGTCTCCCTTTAAAAGCAGCAAAGGTCTGCAGAAAATCATCCCCGAACACCAAACACATTTAACATTAAAGCAGATGGGCTACAGCCCAATCAAGGATTCACTCTTATTTTCAGTGAAGAACAGAAAAATTAGACCAGGATTCACAGAGAGTCATCAAAATTAAACAATTGGAAAGTTCTTGTTTGGAATGGATTTTATTAAAATCATTCAGATAACAGAATTCAAATTTGGCCTTATATCTGCTGCTGAAGATTCTCATTTCATCCAGGTCATAGTCATTCCAAAAAAGTTAGAAAATAATCCACTGGTTTCGTTTCCAAGATTGAAGACGTTTTGCTTCCCATCGGGGAAGCTTTTTTTAATTCAAAATGTCAGAGTTAGCGTTGAGTTCGAGGCTTTAGAGCAGTGTTTTTCAACCCTGGTCCTCAAGACACACTGCTCTGCATGTTTTGGATGTTTCTGAGCTTCAGCACACCGGATTCAGATGATTGCAATTCATCAAAGCCTGATAATCTGCTATCAATTGATAACAGGTGTGTGGAAGCTAGGAAACATCTGATGCTACGTTCACACCGGACGCAGTAAGAGCAGCAAAATCGCGTCTGCTGCTTCATTTTTGCTGCTTGTACCAGTTATGCCGCGTTCACACCGGACGCAGCAGGCGCGACAGAAGCAGCGAGTTTACTTGCAAAGTCAAGGTGCAGCAAAAGGTCCCGCAGCGCATTTTGACCAGAAGGCGCAGCGCGTCTTAGCAGCTGAAGCAGCTCGTCGGCCGCGTTTAAGCATCTGACGCGCGTGGCGCGCCGCAAACGCGCTGCTGCCCGAGATGGAAAAATTTAACTTTTGCTGCTCGACGCGCCGCATCAACCAATCAGAGAAGCTGATCTGGGAGCTGGCAGGGAGAGACACAGCACTGATGATACAGAGCGCTATGATCACTCCTCTGAAACAGTTTATTGATGCATAAATTAACTTAAAATGCAGAAATCTGCCGGCAGAATATGTTCGCTTTTATTATTCTGGTGCCTGCAGATCGGATTATTTAGATGAAAAACACCTACCAGCTGCCACAGTGAACCTCGAGGAGGCGACCCGGCAAGAGGCTGCTGTTGAATGGATTCCCACTGTCGGCGCACCGCCGGTATGTGGGGGTCTGAGCGGCTCCGACAGAAATAACATTGGAAGGCAGGATTGTAATCTGGATGAACTGACTGCACTGATAAGGTTTTCAGCTGTATTTTCTCAATTAAAAAGATATTAAAACTACTTTATTCCCACTGATCACAGCAAATATAGCTGCAAGGCAGAGAAAGAATAGTGAAGCTTAGCCCAACGCGCGTCAGACCCACTTTTGCACCGCGCAGCCAGAGCAGCAAAGCTGCTTCAGCCGCGCGTCAGAACTAACTGGTACAAGCAGCAAAAATGAAGCAGCAGATGCGATTTTGCTGCTTTTGCTGCGTCCGGTGTGAACGTAGCATAACGCAAAATCCTTCACCATGGACAGGCTGCAGCCATGTCCCGAGTTCTTGGTTTCCCCGCCACTTTGGTTGCATTTTTCCCATTCGCTAGCCTTTTCTCTGCCTCAAGCTTATTTTCCGAAGCATTTTAATGCCTTGATTATCAAATTTAAGGAATTTTAATGCCAATTAAGGCCTTAATTTAAAAAAATAATAATTGAATGACCCGCAGAAACCCTGTAATACTTTAAAGAAATTCTAATGATGGTCTGCACTGGAACAGACATAGTAACTGATAGGTCCTTTGGGTCTATTTAATTCTTTTTCTTTATAAATTCTGTTTTAATAATTATTCAAAAACAATCGGGTGATAGCTTCAGTGGTATTGAGAAAGTAACCCAGTTTTTATCTGCTAAATGTTTTTTTTCCCACAACAAATAGAAAAAAGGCTCTAATTTTTACAGATGAATGTAACAGTTTTTCTTGAATTCTAATCTAAATTTGATAGAAAACGGTACTTTTGACTGAAATTAAGTCAAAAATATTTAAAATTCCTAAATTATAAATGTATATGGACCTCATACGAAATAGGATTTTTATTGAACCTAATTGAAAGGAAATTTCACTTCAGCTCTCTTAATATAATATATTTGAATCTCTTGCCCTGTTTTTTTGTTTTTTTTTTCATGCTTTTCTGGGCCCCCATGAAAACACTCTGGCCCCCTCCTGGTCCCCTGGTACATTTAGTCTAGATCCGCCACTGTTCCTTAGCTTCACTAGATGCTGATATACTTTAGTATATTCTGCTGTAAAATTAGTCTGATATTTTTTCCTCGAGGAATGAACCTCTGCCGCTTCACAGGATGCACAGCTTTGAGTGGTAACTAGGTGAGAGTAACCAGAGAAACGTATCGGACTGATCCAATCAGCTCTCTGATCAACCAGTCGCCTGGATCGCTGGTTGATCAGAGCATCGCTTTGGACAGATATGCTGCACAGGTTTCACCAGCAACCTCCTCCCCACACCCCGCGCTCTCTTGTTGTCTGAGCAATCTCAGTAGTTTCTAATCCGCACATGATGCATGCCGGGGGTCACGCTTAAACGCGCCCGACGCGCTGCTTCAGCTGCAACAAACGCGCTGCGCCTGCTGCCCTAAACGCGCCGCGGGAAATTTTGCTGCACCTTGACGCGCGTCAACCATTGACTTTGCATGTAAACTCGCTGCTTCTGAACTCGCTGCTTCTGTCGCGCCTGCTGCGTCCGGTGTGAACGCAGCATAAAACATGCAGGGCAGTGTGCCTGCTTTATAGAGTGGACTAGGGTTGTCACGATACTAAACTTTTCAACTCGATACCGATACTAAGTAAAATATTCGATACTCAATGTTATTTTCGATACCAAAAGAATAAAAACAAAGACTCCAAAATTCAACAGAATTTTTTAAATTATTAAACAAAATACAATAAATAGATAAATAAATACAATAAACAATATTTTGAGGTTGTATGTTGTGCACAATATTAAGCAAGCTTGATAAAAAAAACTTACAAAATTAAAATTAAGTGTTCCTTCCTTGGCTATGCTTTGCACACAGAACAATGACACTAGCCAAACCGGTTAAGAAACAAAAATAATTCTCAGCAGCTGCACCTGTTACAGAAAAAAGTCTGAAACCGAAAAGTGCAAAGAATTATTCAATCAGGCAGTGTTCTGAAAGTGCGTTTTCCTCTCATCTGCGCATAAAATGAATGACTGTTTAGGTGCCACTGATGGTAGCACTGTATCGATACTTTTTAAAATGAGTATTGTATCCGGATACAACTTTTCAGTATCGATACTTTTTTGAGTATCAATACTTTTGACAACCCTAAAGTGGAACAAATGAAAATCTTATTTTGGGTTAGAAAACAAGTATATATCATTCAGGCCATATTGACTTTTCTTTTAGTAACAGAGTCAAATTTCTTTGGTTGGTGATTAATGACTCTCTTGATAGCCGTAGTCTACTAAATTGGTGAACGCAACTGGATTTGAAACAGCCGGCCCAGGAGTCCAAACTTTTTTTGCAAGAGAAATATAAGAACTCTGGTGAGTAAACAAATTACTGTTATAGTCATTAAACTAATATTCATTAAGTGATTTTGAACAACCTATTAATTAGCTATAGCTTCCAGTTCTAGTTTTTTTTTTTTATACATTCATAATCTTCTAGTAAACTTCCACAACACTTGCATTGACAAAGGAAAAAGACAATTCGAAAGAATTCAATAACTGGAATTCACAATAGTGTTTACAGCCAAATTATAATAATTCTGAGAAAAGACTCCTTGCAGTCTCTTGTAGGAACATAATCATAAAACTCTGAAGTTTGATAACTAGATTATTAGAACATTAACAAATCTCACTGAAAAATCCACTTACAGCGCTCAAAATGAAAGATGAATCAACAAAAGAAGAAAGAACTCAGACTCACTGTAAGCTCAGTGTAAAGTGCAGACCTGCTTGAAACAATGACGTTGTGAAACTAAACTGGTTGCTATGCTGACTTGCTAGACAGATGGACCGTGGGTTTGTTAGCCGTTCTGCAACCGAATGCAGAGAGGCATTGCTGGCAGCCTTCGTACAACCTCAAAGGCCAGTGTTACAGTAATCCAAAGAGCAGATGAAATGCTGCTGATAACGCAAACACACAAGTTGTGGCTGACTGACATTCACCGGAAAACCCAAAACAAGAGAGTTTGGAAGAAAAAGTACAAAGAAAAAGAACAAAAACAGTTTCTCTTACCTTGAATCCACCACACGCTGAGCAGATTGCCACAATAGATTTGGAGGCAGTGAGCGAGCTGTGGGTATGAGAGGAGCCACTAGAGGGCATCATACTTGTCTTTCTGCCATCCTTCAAAAGGCTCTGATTGTGTATCCCAACAGATTGTCTATCTGTAGTTTCTGATTGAACCTCAGCTGCTTTTTCTTCACTTGTATCCCCTTTCAACTCTGTTGGATGCTCTGAAGGAACTGGGTAGTCTTTGGTGGCTTTTACTGGCTCAGAATCTTTGTCACCTCCACTCGCTTCATGTGCCACACCTTTAGGAGAGTCATAAAGATACCGAAGAAGCGTGGTTGGCACTTGGTACTCGTGATCAGGAGCAGTGGGACAAATGCAAGGGCTCAGTTCTCGAGCCAGGTGGGGTGGCAAACTAAACACAGAGCCGAAATCCTCTGCTGGAGTGATGTCAAGGCTGCCTGTGTACGAGGAGAAGCTCCCAGAGTAGGAGGAATGGCTTCCGGTTGCAATGCCGCTGTCTGAAGAGCTCTGACGGCCTATCTCATGAAGCTGCCTGGGTGGCTTGGCTGACAGTCTACCCCCGCCTGCCTGGACTACTGAATGTTTTTCTACAGCCTGCAGCGCCACCTTAGTGCCCATGTGGCACACGCTTACGGAAGAGCTTGAGGGAGGTTCAGTCCAAATGGCCAGCCGGCTGCCAATGCTGCAGTCTGACTGGCTGGTGTCGGAAGTGTCAGAAGAGCCAGATATGCTGCGATCATCTCCCCCAACAGATGGGAAGTTCGTGGACGAGACTGCCAAGGAAATAATTGTGATTCATTTAGCATTTCCTTGGACAAATTAAAGCATAAAAACACAATTAAGTCTTTATTTCTCTTTTTTTGATTACTCAGGAATCACATTAACGGTGGAGTAATATTCATGAAAGAATGTTACATCTGCTAAGTTAGGTTTTTGCATAGATTACCACACATTCAGTTTGTAGAGAAGTTAAAGCAACCCAGTATATATATTTTTAAGATTCCATCTTTGACATATTAGAGCACAGATGCCAAACTCCAGTCCTACAGGGCCAGTGTCCTAAAAAATGAAACTTTTCTCTGCTTTAACACACAAGAATGAAAGAAATAGGTTGAAAATGTTTAGGAGGTAATCCAGACATCAGATTCTTCTCGGTTTGGTCAAAAAGTTGCAGGACATCAGCCCTTGAGGACTGAAGTCTGACACCTCTGATTCTGAGAAACCTATGATCCTTTAGTACCTGTGCTGCTCATATGAGAGAGCATGCTTAGCCGCTTCTCCAGCTCCTGGGTTTCCAGGTTCAGCCTCTCCTCTGAAATTGTCTGGCTTGAATTGAGTTCTGTCAAAAAAAAAAAAAAAAAAAGAAACAATTCTTACATTTGACAACATTTCATATTTATCAAATTCACAAAAAAAAGAAGAAATCATTGTGATATGCAGGCAAAGGGTTTGATATAAGTTTTAACAGTAAGAACATCAAAGCTTTTGCTGGGCTAGGGAAAAGCACCTTGCATTGCAATGTTTGTGCACCACTACAGGCCTTATTAATAGCGCTGCCACATGACTCTTCTGGCATGCTTTCTATTGCTGCTGCTGGTAAGATTCTTGGAGCTGGCCAAGGATCTAACATACCCTGAATCCCCAAGGTCAGTGCTTGATCAATAAGGTTGTTTTCTGCTTTATCATTTTAAATCCTGCAAACAGCCGGTTTAACAAAGTTAAATGTCAATTATAAAATTGTCAATTAAAAAGACAATATGTGACTCTACAGAAAGTCATCTAAACCTACAAAGACCCATTGAGACAACTGGTATTAAATTAAACATAACATATCTTAACAGGAAAGTTAGAACAGAAGCCATAATAGTTATTAAGGTAATGGTTTTATTTTTAAACCTAGTTATTATACTTTTAGACAGGAGCAGCAGTTGTGTTAAGCAGCAAAATGCAGGCTGGCAAACTAATAGATCGCAGTTATCAGTGTTTTAAACTTCAACTTATTTCACATCAAGAAATTTAGAAATTATTCATAGGATATTTTTCTTAAACTATTTTATCAATAACAAAAATAAAAACAATCCAAAAATTTAATGTATCACCCTACTGTGACTGAAGTTAAGTTAAAATTATTTAGCTGAATTAAAGTGATTTATCCACTCCCACAGTGCCTGCTCTCCAATTTTTTCCATGTATGTAAATCAAAACATCAAAAAATTAAAATCCCAGACAATACTATGTACACTGTATGTACTCTGCCTACATAAGTAAATCCAGCTTTTGTCTTACCATAATTTTTTCAAAAGGATCACCCCTTTTTGGGATAGATAATATAAAGGTTACAAATGTTAAGGTGATTGTTTTTTCTGCATTTTATTTAATGGGTAAAAAGAGCTACAATCATGGACTTTTAGATCATCACATAATTTCCAAACACAACACACTTGTACATGCACTGCAAACAGTAGCAGACAATACACAGATATGTCATGGGGTGTACTTATAAGATCCAAGACAAGTACTAACTATAAGACTTCTTTTAATATGTGCGCAACTTTTTACAGTCTTTTTTACAGTCTTAAAGGTATAGTGGAGGATATTCTTTTTCCAGGTGGATCATCAAAATAGGTGGTCCTCCTAATTGTCAATCATTCTGGTGACATGTTTATATAAGGCCGCCCTATGTGCTCATCCACATTTTCACTTACAGGTGGAGAGCCTGACATAATGGAGAAATCGCAAATCTTCTTTTGGAAATTAAGCTTGTATAAGCAATGCAAACAGCAACTTTGAAACAGAGCGTGCACAAAGAGTGTTCATTTTTTTTAGGAATTGGACAGGGCGGGTCTTATAATAAACTTGTGAAAATCCTCCACTATAACTTTACGTTTTTGCTATATCTTTAAGTTAACCCATTTATCCATTTTCAACTGCCGATTCAAATCTAATGAAACTATTACAAAACTAAAACTAATTAAACTATTTAACTATTATAATTAAGAAAGGCAGAGCACTAAAGTATAAGACTGTTCTAGAAAAAAAATGATACTACAGTGCTGAATTGATTTCATATAACAATTTATGACAAAAAACATAACTAAATATGATTGTTTTAAATGCATTTTCTATTATTGTTATCTACACCAATAACTACAATTACTTTATTAATTTGCTGCTGAATATTGATATAATAACAGCATCAGTATGTTATATAACTATAGTTATGTAATTCGGGTAACAGATAACATAATTATTTTAATACCAGCAATCCTATTTGAGATTAAACCAGATCAAAAAAATTTGATTCTAAATTCTTAAAATCGTAATTAAATTGATTGTTGAGATTGGAATTGATATCCAAACCTACCAGAGTATATATAACATAGAGCTTCATAAAAGTCAACAGCTCATAGAGAAAAATAAACGTTGCATCATAATAGCAGTTAAACAACAGAGGAGGGTGAGATCGAGAGGTGTGTAGGACGTTATGGAGAACCAAAAGGGAAACAAGATGCCTAACTGTTCACTGCAGAGAAGATCTATGACAACAAAACCTAAAAAGCGGAGCTCTGGATGAATGATCAGAGACGGCAGCAGAGGAATCTAGAGGATGGGGTTACACACATGCTCAGAGCGATTAGAAGGCTTTTACTTCTCTGCTTATGTGAACTGTGACTTTGACCCCCCCCCCCCGGCCCCTTTCCAACATACCCCCTTCTATTTATTCCCCTTCACACTCTAAAAATAGGAAAATGAGCTCAATCTGTGATTGGGAGGTGAGATGAGTGAAACCTAGAATACGATTAAGACTCTTCTCTTTCACACTCTACACGGGTAGTATTGTGGTAAATAAAAGCAGGAACGCTGGTAATAGTTTTCATAACAACTTCAGTGTATATCTATTGCTCAAGTGTCCTGAGACTTAACTTTTTCAGTACAGTTTGAACATTTTAATAAAATCAGGTGGTTTCCTGGCACAGAGGCCAATTTAAGTTATGGTCTCAAAACATTTAGTAAAGCTGAGTTCCAGCTGTGCACCATTTTCTTAGTTTTAGTGAGGATGCGGACAGCAGCATTCTGGATCAACTGCAGCAGTCTTTCAATCAGGTGGCTGTTTGAAGACACTGTTGCAGTAATTCATTCTGCAAATGATAAAATAGAGGCACCTTTAAAACCACCAGAAACCACCCTTTCTCTTTAACTTAATTGATGGCCACAGGTCCAACTGGAAATCATGTAACATATGATGCAATCTCTGCAGATCTGGTCTGTTTTGTTGGAGAAAAAAAGAAAAGAAAAGGATGGCATCCTTTTTGGAGAATCCCTGAGCTGGAAACCCAGCAGTTACTCTGCTGGAATTATGAACAAAGTTATTGATATTCACTGATGAGGAGACATTTTGGATTTTGACAGCTGGTCCAAAATGTCCAGGCACAAAGGTAAGCCAATAATAACAGCTGCTAATTGAACAAACTGTCAGTTGTAATCATTTAACTAATAATCATTACTTGGAGTTACCCTTGATTTGAATGACATATAAATTAACTATAACTTCCAGTTCTAATTATTAATAGTCTCATAATCTGGCAGTAATATTGCATGACAAAAGGCTGACTTTGTCACTGTCCTTATGAGCCTCTGAAGGTTCTGGGCTTGGATCCTCACTACACCCTGATTTCAAACCTAATTTGCTGTTCCTATCTGTATTAAAGGTACACTATGCAACCGGTGTTGATTTTCCAGCGAGGCTCCCCCCAGAGGGCGAAAGTAAAAGTGCACTGTCGTAAATATGCTCAGCTGTTCTCCTGGTTTCTCCGTCAAGCCAGGCGCGGTTGTTTTGAGCTTAGCAGCGAATGACTAATGCTGCGTTCACACTGGACGTAGCTGGCGCGACAGAAGCAGCGAGTTTACATGCAAAGTCAATGGTTGACGCACGTCAAGGCGCAGCAAAAGGTCCAGCGGCGCGTTTTGAGCAGCAGGCGCAGCACGTCTGAGCAGCTGAAGCAGCGCATTGGACGCGTTTAACGCAGGGAGAGAGACACAGCGCTGATGATCACTCCTCTTAAACAGTTTATTGACGCCTAAATTAACTTAAAATGCAGAAATCTGCCGGCAGAATATGCAGTTTGGATTATTTAGATGAAAAACACCTACCAGCTGCCGCGGTGAACCGCTGCTGATGAAGGGATCCCTACTGTCGGCACATCCCTGGTATGTGGGGGTCTGAGCGGCTCCGACAGAAAAAATATTGAAGGCAGGATAATAATCTGAATGAACTGACTGCACTGATTACGTTTTCAGGTGTATTTTCTCACTTAAACACATATTAAAACTACTTTATTCCCACTGATCACAGCAAATATAGCTGCAAGGCAGAGAAAGGTTAGTGAAGCTCCGCCCAACGCGCGTCAGACACACTTTTGCACCGCAGCCAGAGCAGCAAAGCTGCTTCAGCCGCGCGTCAGAACAAACTGGTACAAGCAGCAAAAATTAAGCAGCAGACGTGCTTTTGCTGCGTGAACGTAGCATTACTGCACAAAGATCGCCACTGTGCTAGCAACGAGCATGCTTTTAACTGGGGGGTGTAGCAGTTCTCGCCGTAAAGCAACACTGACTCTCACGAGACTTCTGAGCCTGTGGGTGCGGGTCGGTGCTCCTGCAGTTGCAAGTGCAGTATTTCCCCCACAGACCACCAGGGCGGCCGAGAATACCTTTGTTCAACCTGAAATGACTCATTTAATCATCCATAACGTTATGGAACACATTAATTAACTGAAAAATGTTGCATAGTGTGCCTTTAATTGAAGTTTAAACTTTTAAACACTATTCTCTTGGTCCAAAAACTCTTACTTTTGTTTTTTTTCTTCTGTTGCATTAACCTTTAGCATATCCATGCGTTAATTTCTTCTATGCATTTACCCAGCAGGTAAATGGTTCATAGCCACATGGTGACACTGTAATGTAAAGCTTTGTTATGGTAACTTATGTTTTATTTTTTTATTAAGATCCGGGTAATGGGGAGAAGGCAGATTTTGAATAAAATGGGCCCTAAGATGGAACCTTGGGTAACTCCAAATGTGATTCCTGTAGTCTCTGATGTAAACTTGCCTACTTACACAAGAGGTCCCTCTGCTTAGGGTTTAAACCAGTCCAATACTGTACCAGAAATGCCAGGTGCTCTTATAAGATGGAAGGATCCACACTGTTGTATGCTGCACTAAGGTACAATAAGACCAGCAATGTGATGCTTCTATAGTCTGCATTTATACAGAAGTCATCAAACACCTTGACCAGGACAGTTGACAGTGAGCATGGAAGCTTGACTGGAAGACATTGAAGTGCCACTGTAAGGAAGGTGTTTAATTGTTGAACCACAGGTTTTTCCTGATAAGAGGGAGGTTTAAGATGTTTCTGTAATTATGCGGTGTCAGTTCGTCTAAGTTGCTCTTTTTTAACATCCACCATCCATTTTCTCGCGCATAGTCATTGTCAGGATGGAGGTGCTGCCAGTGCGTATCTCCTGCAGTCTTTGGGCAAGAGGCAGGGTACAATCTGGACAGGTCCTCAGTCTGTCACAGGGCACTCCTTTTCAAAAGTAGTTTTTTAGACCGTGGGGGAAAACACCTGACTGAAGGTATACATTTATAAGTTAAGTCAGAAGTTGGGACAAGCAGGAATTCTTAATGAAGACTTTGGTTAAAACATCAAGACAACAGGTGAAAAAACTTAGTTGGTGTATGGTTTCTGCTTTATTTTTGTAGTTTATTCTGTGAAATTTGGACATTTTGTCAAGATCAGTTATAGTTTGAGACATCTTTTTTTTTTTGGACTTGATATGAATGTATATGCCCTTCTACTCTTTTTTTTGGGGGGGGGGGTTCAGTAAAGAAGTAAGCAAAGCCATCCCATGCCCTGGTTGAGTGGAATTCACATGCCACAGTCACAGGATATTTGTTGGCCCGTCGACCGTGAGAAAGCAGACAGAAGTATTATTAAATGTTTTGCCAATAATCTTAGAGAAGAAAAATCCTCCTGCATTTTTCCAGTTTTAAATTATATCTGTGAAGTATCTCTGTTTAGATGTTATAAAAGATAAGGATTGAGCTGATTGGCCTGAAAGATAAAAAAATAAACCTTTACCTCCAGGAGCCCAGGTGTATACAATCTGTGTGTTGCATTCAGGAGCTGTTACTCTAAAGGTAGTGCAATAACGTCCCTACTTCTTAATATCCCTTATTCAGCAGTTAGTGGTATTATAAACAAGGAAAAAACATCCAAGAGCAGCAGAAACTTAGCCACAAAGCAGTAAAAAGACTGCGCTGGGTCAGCAGGGCACAGAAGCTTGTTAATGAGCTAAATAGAACAGAGATAGCTTCATGTTCAAAGCGGCTTTTTGTTTTATTTTCAGCTTTTTTCTATGGTCATTACACTGTCCCAAGTACAGAGGAATGAAATAAACTCTCTGCATTTAACTCATCACCTTGGGGAGCAGTGGGCTTCCATTGTGCGGTGCCCTGGGAGCAGTGTGGGGTTAAAGGTCTTTGCTCAGCGAGCCAGAGTGGCAGTCGGTGGGAGTGGGGCTTAAACTCAAAACCTCTGGAACCCAAGCACAATGCCCGAAACCACTAGGCCACCACTCCCAAAGGTGTATGCCTGCTTGTAGAATATCGTATTTGAAAGCTACAGTCTAATGATTAATGCAAAACAAAAATCTCATTTCATGTTTGACCTTTTAGCTCCGGATTATCTGTTCCAAACTCCAAATAAAAAGAAAAATAATGAGTTTTTAATATGGTTGTGAACAAACTTTCCTTATTTTAGTATTGGTTCCTCTCGCATGGTGGAGAAACCATTGGCTGTTTGGAAATAGTCATTTCCTCCTACCAGACCTCCAATAGCACAAACCCACTGATTATATAAACAGTGGGTTGCCAGGTTTGATGAAATAATAAAAATTTACAGTGCATGACTAATTATAAAATAAAATCATTTATTTAAACTGAGGTTTTAAAATCTGTCAAGTCTTCCAGACTTTGCACCCTCCCTATATTATTTATAGATCTTTTTTTCCCATATAACTTCTTAATCTCTGAAGGAAGAGCATTTCTTTTGGTACTGACCTGGCAAAACGGGCCGCAGCCCATAAGGGCCCCTGCTGGGGCAGATGCCTCTAACGATACAGTCAAGCAGAAAGCTGATCTGCTCGCCCTCTGCAGATGCAAGAAGAAAAACACCGGCCCCTGCAGAAAGTAGAACTCATCAGTGTTGCACAACATCAACAAAAAAGCTTAGTTCCTTTGAAGAATGGTTCAAAATAGGGTGGGTGTTATCAGTAATTTAAAAAAATGCACTAAACTGCCTTTTTTGTTTAATTTCTGGTCACCAATTTTGTTTGAAATCCATAACAATAAAGACATACATACACAATCCTAAAAGTAGTCCTCACTCTCATGCACAAAATAGAGCACACCGACACACCCAAACACGTTTTTTCAATCACTGCTTTAATTTTACTTTGTATTTGTAATTAAAGATGAAGTACAACAGCTCCACAAATTTAAACTAAATGTCATGTAGAACCATTAATTAATTAATTATGTACCAATGTACATGTGTCATGACCTTGGTGCTGATGACTGACTGAATTACTCAATTCATTCACTCAGTCACCAATCAACTGTCTCTACCTGCTTATTTGTACATGGGAACAGACTGGACAGGCTACCAGTCCATCACAGAGCAACATACAAAACACTAGCCTAGTGGCAATTAACAGAGATCGAATAAAAAGTCATTTTCCTCCCATACTGCTCAGAGAAAAAAAATGTAGAGACACCATGCCATTTAAACCTAAAATCTTTTTGCTTTAAGTCAACAATGTGCAATGTCCTTCTTTCATCTGTGCAATATTGCAAAAATTAGAAATATCCTGTCCAGGGGTGATGCTGAGAAACTCGTCCATGCATTTGTTACTTCAAGGCTGGACTATTGTAATTCTTTACAGTCAGGAAGTCCACAAACTGTAGTTAAAAGCCTTCAGCTGATCCAAAATGCTGCAGCCAGAGTTCTGATGAAAATTAAAGAGATTTTATCTCTCCTATCCTGGCTTCTCTTCATTGGCTTCTTGTTAAATCAAGAACATAATTTAAAATCATCCTTCTCACATATAAAGCTTTAAATGAATCTGTTCAATAACATTATGCACTCTCTGCTTTTTCTCATAGTAGCTTTGCCTCGTCTGTTCCTGTTTGGCTGTGACACCATCCTGGAGAGAAATATAAGCTGTGCTGCTTCCATCAACACCTTTGTTTATGGATGTTGGAGATCTGTTTTTCCAGTGTAATCCTGTTTCTCTGAATGTGACTGGCTTGATGTGCTCTCTTCATCCTTTGACATGGGAGCTGGCATGGAGCTTGTCTGCCTGGCTGTGTGTTTCCTGGACGGGGCCGCCTTTTACAGTTGCTTTTTGTGTCTCTGCTTCCGTCTCCTTGAACCCCAGTGGGCCTCAGCAGATGGCCGCTCACACCGAGCCTGGTTCTGCTGGAGGTTTCTTCCTGTTAAAAGGGAGTTGTTCCTCGCCACTGTCGCTACAAGCATGCTTAGTGTGAGGGACTGTATTTGAGTCAATGAGTTGATGCAATCAATTGGTTTTACTTACCGTAGATTGAAAACTTTGAATCAATTTGACTGTATGATCTGTTTGAACTGTGAAGTGCCTTGAAATGACTTGTGTTGTGAATTGGCGCTATATAAATAAACTGAATTGAATTGAACAGTGTTCCACTGTGCAGCCTACAGCTGACAGGTTCTAATTGAAGAGATTAGTGTATATTTTCCAAATACGCCAATGCTTATGCTATGACAATCTAAAGACAAGATTAAGTCTGTATTAAACCGCAAAGCTCACATCAGTTTCACTGCTGAGATGCCACTAAAACCTCTAAGGTGACATTCCTTCTTCTCGGCATGTCACTATTAAATTTAACATCAAACCAGTGGAGCAGATTGAGACAAAAACACCTGTCTTTCAGCTCAGAGCCTCAAAGAAAACAACAACTATCCAAAGGTCAGAGGTCTCTCGCTCCTCAGACATCTATGACAATACAGCTGCTTTTCTGCTACAATGTGTGAACAACAAAGGGTCCACTGCGCCGTCTTCAAGACCACCCATGTAAATCGCATTTCTAATCTCACCCCTGCAGCAAGAGGGGTCAACGGTCAGCAGTATCGTCTGCTCGAACGTCTTCACCAGCTGAAAACGAGAATCTGCTGGCTGCCGGCTGTTATATTGCTTTAATCAACACATCTCTCATCCAGAGAAGCGAGCTAAGTATTTATGAAACTTTTAAAGTTGTGACTATACGCCCACAAGTCACACTTTTATTAGCAGATAAAGAACATCAGGTGCACTGCCAAAAGCCAGGGTGCAAAACAAACACAAAGCAAAGCAAAGCACAGGTGGCAGAGTTTATTTGGCTCATATTATTCAGAGTAGAACAAAAAAAAAGTCAAGTGGACCCTTCTGCTCTTTGCTTCAACAAGTGACAAAACACTGTCTCTATAAAAAGCCCCAGAACTTATTAAATGGGTTTAGGAGGTAGGAGGTGTGGGTTTGCTTCTATCTTCACAGGGACTTATGAGCCAAGGGTTTCTAACACCAACAGCAGCCATCCAAGCAGCAACATGACGTTTATGGTTTTCAGGCTAACTGCATCAGTGGTAAAACTTAAGGGGCTTCAAGTCTTACCAGAAACTAGAAGATAAGAGAAGTGCTCAATTTTCTTACAAACATCCGTACAGAAATGTAAAGGTTTGCTGTGTCTGCATTTAGGAGTCAATGCACTATAGAGGTAATGTTGATATTCTTACAAAGTCAAATCTTTGTTCTAAGTCACAATCAGTAAATCTGGATACTATTTTTTGACCACTCGTCTTTGTAATTAAGCTTTACCTCTGGGTAATTTTAAATGGAGAGAATCAGTGGACAAAAAAATTTAAATCTGGCAACAGAATCTTAGTTTAAATTAGGTGTGAACTTTAGTTTGGCCACTTTAATACAAAAGAAATGCTTAATATTAACACTTTTTGTAGTTCTGTCTGGATGTTTAATGCTGTTTTCCTGTTTTATTCCCCTGCCTTCTACTCCTTTATTTCATGAATCCATCCTATAATCAACTCTGATGAGCTCTGATCTGCAGTTTGAATTTTGCATTTCAAAAATAATAAACAGAAAAAAAATGTATGTATTTCTGAATGTCTTGTAAATAATATCTATAGAAAAAAGCATCAGAATGCAAATATTTGCATTCTTTCAAAAAAATGGTGAGGCAGTGAAGGTTGTTATCCTGTAAAACCTCGTCAAGGTTATTAGCCTATTACTTATTAAAATGATTAACCTTTTAGAAACCTTTCACCGTATTCAATGGCAAAACTATAATGGCTCAAAAATCCTGTGCTGAAATCTGGTTAGAAAGCAATTAAAAAGCAACAAGTAAAGCACGAAAAAAAAACAACGTATGTTTACAGAACAGCACTTTACTGTGCTGCTATCGCTTCATGAAATATTTCATTACGGTACTTAGATTTAAATCCATATTTATTATTATTATGCTTTGAAAAATCACACATTACAAAAGTTGGGGTGTTAAAAACTGTTAATAATCAATTTAACTTTCTCCTCGTCTTTCATTAATAGCCTTTCATTCTCCATCTGTTATTCTGGCACTAAGTTAAACACAATTTTTGGAGTAAATACTCAACAGAACCTTGAGAGATTCTGGCAGCAAGGCTCTTATTTTCCATTGAAAGGTGCAGTCGTCAGAAGCAGATAAGTGATCTGCCAAAAAAAGAAGCCTTAACTACATTCACCCCTGAGCTCCTGTGGATAAACTGTACTGAGAGATTAAATTACAAGATTCAACTTGTTGTTTTGTAAGTGAAAGTAAAGCATTATATGGGGTTTCACGATATCATTTATATGCGCTTTCGAAAGTTTCAAAGCAGTCATTTTAATAAAATTTCAAATTAAGGAACTCAATAAAGATAAAGTTTACTCAGCAATAGAAATCCCTTGAGAGCGGTAAACAAGTCTGAATAATTGCTGGGTTCCTTTGCGTAGAGGTGGCCATGGTGCCTTAAAGTTGCTTCCTCCATCTTAATCTAAGGTATTTTACGTTTGTTCTATCCATGCATTAAAATATTTTTTTGTTAGCTTGATTTATACATCTATGTTTTTCAATTGAGCCCAGACTTTCTTATTCTCAGTCACCTTTTTCACCCTTTGAGCTTGTAAAGCCAGAGGCTCTGAAAGCCAAGAACACATTAGGAACGCAGTAATGCTGCCCAAAATATAACAGTTGTCAACCTTAACCCCTAACCCCCACAGAAAGCATCAAGCTTTAATTGTCAATGTATAAAATGCAAGAATAATATTGCTTGCTAGGATATCTTTTAAGCTAGCTGTAGTAAGGCATGTTGTGCAATAAACAGTCTGTGATAATGAGGAGTAGCAATATCATGGGATATAACGTGTTTAAGTTTGCCCCTGATTGGTCTTTGGGAGGTTTAACATTTAGCATTACTGTAACAATCCATTTTGAGGTATTTACATTTTTTTTTTTCATATTTTACTGAAAACAAACTTCAGAGAAAAATACAGCTCATTAATTTACAGAGAAAAGAGATTGATTTCCCCTCCAAAAAAATAATCCTAATCTGAAAACTGCCAGAGATCTCAAGGTTTCATATGGACAACTGAGAAAAGGATGACCTGAACATGCTTTCTACTCACACTAGAAGGGGGAAAAAATTCAATATCAATATATATCGCTATGTAATTCAATTCAGTTACTGTGATATGAAATTTCAGATATCTCAACGATATACACTACTGTCAGTGATTACAGCATTTTCACTGACTGACCCTCTGGGTTTCATGTGGCTTTATCTATTTTGTTGATGGATGGATGGATGGATGGATGGATGGATGGATGGATGGATGGATGGATGGATGGATGGATGGATGGATGGATGGATGGATGGACTCTCTCCTCCTCAGGGAAACCCTTATATCTGTCCACTACCTCTTTCAAATGGAGGCTACCACACTGAAAAAATAATGCAGCCGTTTTTGGTTTTTACTTAATCATATTTATTTACTTTAACACATTTTTTATTTTTATTTTTGCAGTCTAGAACATAAAACAATTGTGTTAAAGTAACTACATATACTTAAGTAAAAGCTGTTTCATAATTTTTTTCAGTGCAGCTCTGAAATGAGCAGACATGATATATGTTTTTACCATGTCATCCAGCCATAACTCTGGTTAAAGGGATTTTTATGCTCCCATTATGCAGGTCAACAGTTCTACCCAACATTTGTCAATGTCCTCATGTTTTCAAAGTGTTGATTATGACACCGGATTGATATATGCTACTGCCACTAGAGGGCCGATCAAATTTAACATCCATATTTAGAGATATTTCAGGCGATGGCAAATGTACAAGAAAGTTATGATAATAAACACTCAGCAGGATAAAGGAAGGCGGAGCAGTTCTCCCCTATTCTTCATCAGATAAAAATTCTTGCATGAACAAGATAATTAATCATGGACTGAAATACAGATTAAATTAAACCAGAAGATGGAGAGAAAGCTGGGTCCATATATGCCTCTGTGTAGTTTATGTTGAGCATGAATGGCCCTTAAACCTGCTCCTTTGCCCACCTAAAAAGTAATTTCTCTTGAATCCACTTCTTGCAACACGATTATGAAATAATGTTTTTTGCTGAATCCTAACATAAAGGATCAACCAAAGGAAGAGTGCTGGGACACAATAAAAATAAAGTATTTTTTTTTTCCATGGATAAAATATATTTATATCAGTAACCACAGGGTTTAAACAACTGAATCATAAAACCAAAAGTTTAACCCATATTTTGTTTTGTTTTATGGATAACTTCTTAACACTTAAGAAATATCTATCTAATTCAAAGACAGCATGGTCTGATCCCTACCTTGAAGTTTTTACTTCAGCATTTGATGAGTTTTCATCTAAACCTTCATAAGTTTAAAAACAGACTCTGAAGAGCATCATCAATTTCCTTTGGGCTGCTGGGTAAACACATTATTTCCGCAGACCTTTGATTAAATCTGTATAAATCGAGAAATCTCCTGCTCTGAGCTGAATGTGAGGCACTTTTGAAATGGGCTTAAAAAAAATTAAAGTTTGAGAAGGAAAAAATGTTTCAGATATCTTAATCAGTAAACTTTGCAGGGAAGTTATGCATAATTAAAACTAAAAGTGCTCCCCTGGCTATGGCCTCAAAGGCTTCATTAAATACTGAGTTGTCCTGCAGCTTCTTGCTGCTGGGGCACACAAATGGAGCATCAAGAGTTATCTACTTACAGTATCCACATCTTGTTCCTCCTTCAAACACAAATCCATTTGGCACTGGTCCATATCTGCGCAAGTCTGGCAGGTTCCAATGGCCGATAATGACGGGAGGAAAGTCCCGGATGAGGGCCAGAAGGTTGTTGCACAGATGTAGAGTTGCAGGTCCAGTCTCCAGCCTGGTCCCTGGTAAAACTCCAACACTGAATCTGTGAACTGAGCAGACAGAGAAGTCTAAACAGAGCTGCAACAAAAACACAATAAAATATTTTATCTTTAAAACACCATTGAATCACTACAGTTTTAAGTACATTGCTGGCATTTCATTAAATGTCTTATTTGGACCTTGTTTTAGCAAAAGACTAATAAGATCGAATATCTTCTTCAAAAATACCTTGACCAAGACAGACAGCAGTACAGAAACTCAACCAAGTTGGAAAACACCAAGCATATAACATAAATAAACATGCTGACAATAAAAAAAAGGTACCACAAAGGACTAAAAGCTTCACCATGTGCTAAAGTGAGCCGATGGCAGTTTCTAAAGTACCTCTATTGGCCACTAATGAATTCTTAAATAACCAGGTTCTAAAGACTTATTTGTAACTAATGTTTAAGTTAGCAAAAACCAAATCATTCTGACAAAAAATAAGCTTCCAGTGTTTGGGGTTTCATTACCAAAAAAAAACACTTAAACAGCCAGAAGGCCCAGCAAAAATATCCACATATTTTAAAAAAAATTTAAGTAGATTTTGTTTGGATTAAATTTTGCCAACAGAAGGAATGGCGTAGTGGTGGGAGCATCAGACTACTCAAAGTAAAAATCCAGTGCAACCAGTTGCCCTCAGAAGTCATCCAATCAGCAAGCAGAATTAACCTATGTGATCAAATCACAGTGTATTGTTTTTTTAAAGCCTTTGACATTTGTAGGAGAAGGTGGGCAAATCATCTTAAATCATCATCTTAAGGACCAAAGAACCCATCATACAGGTGAAGAAGAATGCTGTGAAGGTCAAAACCTGCTAAGATGTGGCCGTTCACGATTTGATAAGCAGCCAAGAAGCCTCTGGTAACTCTTAAGACGCTATAAATCCACAACTCAGATGGTGCACTTTATAAACATAAACTTAATAAATCAACGATAAGATAAATGCTATTGTTGAAAGAAGCCAAGTTTAGTTGCAAAGTGTATGACATGTTGTGCAAATTAAAAAAACTAACGCTAACCCAATCCTTTTACTCTAACCTTAAAGAAAAGGTAGAATACACGCTACCAGAGGTAGGCAACACCCGGGGAGTGCCCTGTCCTGCAGGTTTTGCATGCATCCCTGCTACTACACACCTGAAAAAAAAAGGCCAAAACAATTTTCATTGTTGATAAGTTTTGCAGATTTCCAGCAATTACCATCTTTTTGTTTTAGGTGTGAGAAGGGATGCATGCAAAAGTTGCAGGACAGTGGCACTGGAGGAACCAACATTGCCTACCCCTGCATGCTACCATATACACTCCTAAAGCTACTAGCAATGAACATGTGTTCATGTGTTGAAAATGTCGAGGTTAATGTGAAAACAATATCTGCTACCTGTCATTTACGTACCTTGGGCCTCAGTATATGATGAACGGGATACTCAGTATATGATGTGCAGGGAGCTTTGATCAAAGGGGTCAGTATTTGACAAGTTAGGGGACAAAATGTGTTGTTTTTCACAATCTACTACCTGGAAAGTTAAAGCTGTGGGAAAACTGATGGTGTGATGGAAAACTGATAATGTACCTCATCTTGATTACTTCCTTACTAAAATGTGGCATCAATGTTGCATGGAAGAACTGAAATAGGTGATGAATATATAGCAATCTTGTCAGAGTTACTGTTAGAGGCTATAAAATACTTAAATCCAGAGCTGCAATGGAAAGCTTTATACTGGGCATAAACTTGTATTAGAATGGCTGTATCAAAGTCCAGACAAAAATCGAACCGGAGATTGGTACATTTATACTCAAAGAGGCTCTCCATCCAGTTTGGATAGTTTTGCAAAAGGAAGAAAATTCAAACTTCTGTTTAGAACTAGTAACGTCAGAAAATAGTTCTAAACTTGTAAAAAATGGGATTCTGTAAAACATGGACTCTGAAAGGGTGAATACAAATGCACAAATGAAGGTTTTTAGGTTTCATATTTTATTTCAACAAATCAATATAGTGTGTTTGAATTATTCTTTCTTTAAAAATTCAAAATAACACATTAAAGTTTGCCATAGGTAAAGACACAAATTCTGCAAAACTATACGAAGCATTAAAACTCAGTAGAAAAGGTTTATTATAGCGATGATTGCAATACAAACATATTTGGAGAAGGAAGCACACCATACACCCCCATTATAGGATTTAAAGTCAATGCAGTTAGATTAGGCTACAAAAGGATTATTTTAATAAAAATAAGAAAAATATTAGGTTTTAGGATGACCACATCAGCCTAAAACATCCAAAGTAATGAGTTTTAGAGGTCTGGAAGAGGTGTTATGACAAATAGATTAACAGGTGTGTGCTTCCACAGCTTCCTGAGAAGCAGGCCAGCATTAAGGAGCCACAGACAAACAGATAAGGCTAATGCTGGCGACATTGCCGAAGCGTTGGCCCGCCGCATCACATCATCACTCAGGTTAAGAGGTTCATACAGGCTATGAAAGCACCAGGCACGGTGGCCATCAGCCAGCATTTGGGGCGGGAGGGAGGGTGATTGGGGCTGGAATGTGACATCTGTGCAGGTTTGGATGATTTCCACTTTGTGACATTAAGCAAAAGGCCACAAATGCACACTAAGTTGATAACATACTGCCACGACTGAATATTTTACTAAGCTTGTTTGTTTAAATAATGACAATTCTAAGGTCCTGTTTGAATCCAATCAAGCTTTGCGTATAAAACACTTAGAAAATGTATTGCACAGACTCGGCTAAAAGTCACTGGCTCCTAAAGCATCTAGAGCATCCCAGTAGGCAATGAGAATATTAGAAACTACACAAACATAGTATTGATGTAAAATAAAAAAAATAAAAAAGCCAATAATCACCATTAAACCAACAACCAACTAAACAACAAAAGCCTGAGTGAAAATATGTTTGTCTTTATATAGGTTTAAAAATGGCTAGAAGCGAGGACTACCTTATAAAGAAATAATCTCTTGTTTACTTTGGGATTCCCACAGCTCCTCTTCCTGCTAAAGCTGACAGTAATAACTTTCTCAATTCTGTTATGTCCATCAATGGCCCATCATTTCTTGGTTCTTGGTTTTCTCAGGCTCTGGATGTGTTTCATCTATTCACACTTTCCCCTGATTTTATCTTCAGGCTATATAATAAAAGTATTTTCCCACCAAAGTTAAAATTCATGAAAAATTATTACATAACAAATTCCTTTTACCTAAAAAGATTTAACACAAACGTACTAAATAAACCTTACATGATAGAAATTTATTAGTTTAATTTATCGTATTTACTTGAAATACATAATTGTCAGGTTTATGCATTTAGTATAAGTAAAGATGTTTAAATTTAATACTAATGAGTATAATAATCTTTTTCTGAGTGTGCCCATCTACATTGTATTTTTCTATATTTTCTCCCTTCAAAGGTAAATATGTGCAAAAACAGAATTCAACGCTTGTGGTTCCGAGCTCCTTCTACCATATTGCTGTTGATCCATTATTAAAAATCTAAAATAAATGTAGATCCTAATCAGATAAATCAGATAAAGAAATAAAATCCATATGTTAAGATTATGTTTACCATAAAGGGTCTTTAAAAAAAAAAGTAGCTGAAAAACAGATTGTTTCTTTTGAGAGATTTCAGTCTCGCTTTCATAAGCAGTTTAATATCAGCTGACTCTAAACCAACCATTGTAATGTTTCTGCTGGATATTACATCTGTCTCTCTGACACTGTTGATCGCAGTGTTTTGATCAAGAGTCTCCAAGGGGTAGAAGCTTTATTAGGTGGAGCTCTAGAGTGCATTAACTCCTATATTTCTACCAGAACATTTTCATTCTGCTATGGCACTGCAGTGTCGTTTAGGTTAATTCTCCTTATTCCACTAGAATGATAAAATATAACAACAAAATCAACAGCAGTGTTAGAGATAATTTTTGTGATTTTATTTCACCTTGTCCTGATATACTTTGAACTTTGAAAAGGATTTTTTTTCCAGATGATTTTGAAAAACAACAATAAATAAATGCACTTAAAAAATATTTCAAACAAACAAACAACCGAATACCCACAAAAAGAGACAGGTTAACATCAAACCAAACTCCAATTTCCTAACAAACTAGATTCACCTTAACATGAATAGAAACAAATAAATCTGTCGGTATAGACATCCGGAGAACTGACATTAATGAATGGAAATTGTCTAAAAAGGGGTATGAAGAAGTAAAAGTTATTTTTCATACCCCCTCTCCCTCTAACTGTAAAAAAAGAAGTGCAAAGTTTTTTGTTTTTTTTACATGTTTTATTTTTTGACCTAAAAGGCAAGTTGATTGAAATGTATAAGTCTTTTTTTTTTTCTCAAATGCTGCAAGAGAGAAAAACATTTTTTTTTCACCAACTCATTCTACTACGTGTTTATTTTTTTAAAGTCGCTTATACAATCTTACTTTCCAGAATCAGATTTGCAATTTTTCCACTATGTCAGACTCACCACCGGTAACTGAAAATGGGGATGAGGACATAGGATAATGATTGACAATTAGGAGGACCACTTATTTTGATATTGCACCCAGAAAAAGAACATCCTCCACTATACCTTTATGTATTTCAATTTACAAACCGCCATAATGAAATCACAGTTCTTTATTCTATTACTTTTACTACCATTCTTTGTAATTACGTTTACGGAAAAGCTTATAGGATATCTTAAATGTGTTTTCAAGAAGATGCTTTTTCAACTGGACTATGATTTATTATAAAGCAGCTGCACATCTGTTATTTACTGAAACACTTTAATGCAGCATGTTTATACAAAGGCAAATCAGTTTGTGTCAGATGCTTTTCAGTATCTGACTCTTATTTCAAGCTTTGAAATCTCTCATTAGTCTTTAGATTCCTCCCTCGAATCTGTGAATGTAAATATGCTTGTTGCATCCCATCAAGAAAACAAGGTGAGTTGCTTAGTTTGAGTAAATATTTTCAACTTTCCTTTTAGGAGGTTTTGGATTCAGGGTTGGACACATGTGTAGCCAAGAGCTACCGGGGTGTCTGAACACATACAGAGTATTTATTTGCACAACTCAGTTTGCAATGCAACGTTCTGCAGCACAACGTTTTAAAAGCGACACATCAAAAAACAGAAAAGACCCCCTAGCTATCACTAAGCAATCTAGCTATCACTTGCAGCTACAGGGGAGAAAGAAGGTGGAACAAACCTGAACTTAATGACAGCTGTTAGTTAGAAAATTAGATTGGCTATCGTGTAGTTAGTTAAAATTGAGAATGGTTAGTATTATTAAAAATGATAACTGAAACATTCGTCTGCAACAACACGCGGGAGGCTCCAGTCATTGGCAAGACACCTTTGATGGAAAAAAAGATCTAATTGCTGCGAGCAGCAGCCACCACATCTCTTTGTCATACACTAGATACATTCATATATTTGTGGTTTGCCTAAATTAAGAAGCACAAAAAAAGTGTCCCCTCTATAACTGACTACCAACTAACCAACTTTTTTTCTTCCTAAATGATGTTTATGAATTCTAATGTAACGTATTCTATTAACAAATGTTGAAACACATAACACATCACTATAACAGCTGGAAAAAAAAGCCTCTGAAATATATTCTCCAGAAATCACGGCAAGATTTCATCAAAAGACGACTGTTCTGACTGTTATCCAATCAGGGCTCTACTTTCTCCCCGTTAACCTCAATAATCAGAGGCTAAAACTACAACAGGGATTTCTATAGAGACTGACCGGTGTCGTGCCAAACGAGTTATCCCCGACAGAATTTGTATCCCCTGCGTCGGGAGCGCGCATTCAGCTCCGCCTCATTACCAACACATTAGAGATTGTGCCTGAAAGCAGAATAAATAGCTGGTTCATGCACAACTTAAAATCAGATGCATTTTAGAGCATATTAATGCTTTTTAAAGACTAAATTTATGAGGTTTAACAACATTTCTTAAGAATAATTTTATGAAATTTGGTGGGGAGTTTTTGCCTCCCTAGTATTCAATGAGAAATCGCCACTGTTAAAGAGTTTTCTGATGACACCGCCACCTGTGGCCAAAACACAGAACTGCACTCTTCTGCTCGTTCTCGTAGAGTGTGTCTGTTCTTGAAAAAGTTTTTTTTCAAAACCCTATATGGAGTTGCCATCGGTGCCTGACTTGAGCTAGATGCTTCTTCTTTTGTTTTTTTTGTTTTTACAGCCTTTGTTACTCATTTTTTCGACAGTAGGCTGACAGGAAAGGGGGGGGGGGTGAGAGAGGGGGAGAGACATGCGGCAAAGGACCACAGGTCGGATTCGAAACCGTGTGAGCCACATCGAGGACTAAGGCCTCCTTACATGGGTCATGCGTGCTAACCGCTGCACCACCTGCACGCCCGCAAGTTGCCTCTGTGTTGGACTCATTAAAGATGGACGTGCTTGACTTCACATCTACCGAACAGCACGGGAAATTCCAACCCAAAGTACATGCAGGAAAATAGCCTACAGGCTTATAGATGCATTGGTGCTGAACTACTGTCTGCTCATCAAACTATGTTTTTTGTCGTAGATGGTCAAATAAACAGGCCGTTTTATAGATATTTTACAGTAAAAACGTACAAAATGTCTCTTAAAGGTAAAAGAGTAAAGAATGTAAAGAACTGAGCAACAGAGATGTCAACTGGCTAATTAATTTAGCAGCAGCAAATACTGAAACATTTGAACGTTTCATTCCTATTCTTTAACCAATCAAAACTAAGAATTGATGGAATTTTCAGTCTATAAACACATGAACCAACAACAAATAAACTTTGATTAACCTCTTTTAAATCAAGCCAACTTAATGGAAACACAGCACACTTCCTAATACATTGCAATGTTCTTGTATTTGCTTTTATTGTGTCTTTAGCAAATAAAAAACAGATCAGCAAAATTTGGAAAAAGACAAGAAAAGCATAATCAGAGGATCCTGAGTCAAAGGTTTAGCAGCTGATCATGTTCAAAGTGTGAATGTTGGTTATCAGCTCAGAGGAAATTTGGAGGTAGTTCTCACCCTCTCCGAGGCTGTATCGCAGACGGAGCTCCCAGGCCTGCAGGGTCTCCCTGCTGTCAAAGCCAAGCAGAGCAGCCTGGTTCAGGCAGAGGATGGCCAGAGTAAAAGAAACCCCTTCATACCACTGTCCAAGTTCTAGGCCGCAGATCTGCTCCAACGTGACAATCCCCTTCTCTTTGTTGCCCTGGGCTTTGTCTGATTTGTCTTTAAAAACTAATAACACAAGGCAGTCTGGAAGAGAAGGAAAAGAAGAGTTTCAAACAAGATAGGGGACAAAACTTGCTTCCTTGTTTTATTGTAAATATAAAAATTAGGGGTACATACAACTTAGTTACCTTGCTTACATATTAAAGATGAATAAAAATTAATTATTTTAGTTTAATGCAGAGAAAACCAGCACAGTTAATACACTGCATGAAATAAAAACAGAAAAAACCTTTCCAGTTGAGTTAAAATTTTAAATATTATATATTGTTAAATAAATGTCTGTTAAATACCAGAAGAGGGAGAGAGGGAGAGAGAGAGACTAAGGTGCCACGATGATGCCATGGCTTGGAAAGCTTCTGTCCCAAATCCCAAAGATTTGAGTTAAACAAATAGGACACCCCACATATATTTAAGGCAACACCTCAAAGAGGGATCTCTTGTATGACAAGATATTAGGAAGCAAACTTTAGATCTCAACAAGTCAGATTCCTCCTTTCATACAATTACCACCTAAAACTGGATTGTCCATCAGTTCAAATGATATCAAGGCATAATCTGCAAATGGACGTCCTATGGAGGATGACGAGTTCCACAATTTAAAAAGATTTAATATATAAATTATGAAAGAATTATCTAAATGTATAATAAATGTATTATTATAAATACAGAAGATATTTAATCACTATATAATCAATTATATAGGTCTCAATGAAATGTAGGGATTATATATTAAGAAGTGAAAGTGAGGTGGCGCCAAAGCCTTTCTCAAGCACCTATCAAGGTGCTCATTCATGAGCCTATCAATATTTTTTTTTGATTATGTTAATGGTTGAGAATTCTGCTTCACAGCAGTAGGTTGAGCCAAACATAATCAAAATGTGCAGAGTCATCTTTGAGCACGCCATTACACTTTTCTTTCACCAGTTCACTGCAGTTCTTCCATTAGTCCACACTTTCTCTTCTCACTTTTTCTCATCATATTCTCCTTTTTTCCCATCGCCCGGCTTGCCACAGGTTTGCCTTCTGTGTCTAAAAGTGGCTGGCCACCCAGACTGACAAAGCTCTTTGGCTCATTCGTATCACATGTAGCCTGGTTCCTGGGGGCTCTGGAAGTCTTTACCATATTAACAGGAGAAGCGGCGCAAGTGAAGTTAGACACTGTCGTCTGACTTATAATTGTTTTCAATCAGGTTGGGTCCGGGTAGCAACCAGGTGAGTACGGATCCTGACCGCGTCTTTACCAAGTACAATCATTATTGACTAAAACACTAATTGATAGGAGACCGATTACATCATATTGAACTTTAGACATCAGGGCACACAGGTTGGACTCAAACCAGCAACCTTCTGCCACCATATTTTATATCCTACACAAACTGGGAGATGCATTACTTTGTAGAAAAGGTACATTGCAATACAAGCTAAATAAAGACTCCAGACTTTCAAAGAAATATGCCTGTTTAGCCAAAAAAGAGCTTTTCTTCATATGCAGTCCTTCACAGGTTCATGGTATAAAACAGAACTGAATCATTGCATGATAGAAAATGACAAAATATTAAATAAAATTTGTCAACTAACCCAAAATAATCAATGTCTGCATAAAATAAAGACCACAGACTTGACTAACTACGGACCAGCATTTTAGAAATTGAAAGAATTGTGTGAGATGGAACCATAGTAATCGGTTTTTCTCATTAAGGATTCTCCTAAAACTTTTTAACACATTTATGTGAGCTTTTGCTTTCTAAATGCCCTGTGGTAAACTGTAGCAAACTGATGAAGACCTTACTGAGTTCAAAAGCTGGTCTAGCTTGAGCGTTTGCCCTCTATAAATATTTCTAACCTTTAAAGGACAACTTCTACATTTCCTATATATGTTTCCTCTATGTCTGATAGTACTGTTAAACATATTTGGCTTTAACAGAAATGCTTCTTTACTTGAACAGCAAGAAGAGCCAAATTGTTTTCACATACAAGACATGTAGTTTGAACCCATTTTGTTAAATACTGGCATGTTTCTATGATTAAAAAGGTTTCATGTGCTGACTTTATTTATCGTTGACTCTACATTATGACCTACAGTAGCTGTCGGCGTGTCCTCCAACCTGTTGACACCTCTCAACCAATCAGTGTCAGCTGACTAAACAACAGGGTGTCCACTTATTGATGTCCTTTAAATACGCACTCACACAGGCACACACTGAGGAACACTGAGCATTAGTGAAGACAGCTGTATCAACACTGACATCAAAGATCTGAGGAGGAGCAGCACCCAGCCCTGATCCAACCTGTGGAGCATGTTAAGACCCCCCACCCAGCCCCCGTTTCTCTACCAGACCAATTAAACTTCCATATATTCATTTTGATAAGTTTAAATTTGAAACCTTTAAGAGTCAGGGGTCATTTGTATTTTTACTAATTTGTTCAAATATCAGACAAACATTCATATTATTTCATCAAACTGTTAGTAAGATTTCCCATTACTCCATACATTGTTCATCTACAGACATCCATAAAGAGAAACTAGAAAGACTGAATAACCTGACTATGGGAAAAAGCCAGAGCACTTGAACCCTGGGATCAATGGGAAGATCATTTGAACTCAAAATAAGTGAGGATTTTAACCAGGAACCTTCATGTTTATATTTGCAAGAAGGTCAAAACACTAAAACTAAAATGAGCACTGTTTTGAAAATAAGTTGCAATTCGGTTAAATTATGAAAAAACACAAAGTCAAAGCATCTACTGAAATAAACAATTTATTCTAATTCAGTTTTAATTTGATCTTAGAATACAAAAAAATGTTTAGTTCATAAAATGTAGACTTGTTAAATGATTTAAACCCAAACACAGATGGATATTCTCAGCTTTTATGCGACCAAACCATCATCCTCCCTCCACCTTCCAGCTGAGGATTTCTTGGCCGTGCATAAACAAATAGTAGATATTTGTGACGTTATGAGAGCACCATTTATTTAAAAAGCTTATATTTGACAACAACAAGAAAAGGTTCACCTTAAAGCTGAAAATATATACTTAACCCCAGATTAATGCTCTTCCATCATGGTGCAAAGCAAGCTGCGCACTGATGTGGAAAATACTCTAAATCAATATTTTCTTACCTGCTACAGGCGACGGCTTGCGAAATACGAGCCACCTAGTCTTCCACTGTGAGAGGGAAACAAAACAAAGTTTTATGCTTGCGCAGAAGTTATTGAGTTTATTCCCCACAGAGCGAATAAAGACAATAAGGGAAGCACCTTTTTCCCATCTCTCAGTCTGGCGTATCCCTCCACGACAACAGAATCCGTCATCTTCAGTCATGGTTCCTGACAGCTGCACAGTCGCTGCCTGAATGAGGGGTCACTTTCAAAATAGCTGCTCTGCTCGCTCTGCCCCCACCCCTGCAGCCACAGCAAGGAGGGCACATGGGGGAAGAAATGCCATGACCGGGGCCCTGTGTCTGTCTATCCGTCCTTCAGGGCACTAACAGCCAGGGTGCCACCTGGACTGGGCGGAACCACCTGCTACTGCCGCGAAAATTGGGTGACTACAGCCAACCACATGATTAAAAAACATAGGCTGTCAACAGAGCTGATTTTGATACAGTAAATATTTATGTTAAAGATCAAAAAGATATATTAGCAGAATTTAGAAATGGATAAAATCAGCTGCTTTGGTCGTTGATGTGGTTTGCAATACCATGTAGAAACGTTGGTATAATCAACCAATGGTTTGGGTCATGGTTTGACTCTGGTACCCATTTGTGGGTCAGAAGCTGAAAAGTTTGGGAGTCTCTGATCTAAACGATTCTTTATCCTGATGGAAGGAGAATCTCAGTGCAAGTCTCAGGTTGTTTTCTTTACTAAAACATGTTTAGCTTCATCCGTCTTCATGCATCTTCATCCGTCTGTCATGAAGGTTGTTTGGAATGTTGTTTAGATGTGGTAGAGATTGACACATAATGGAGCCTGGATTAATTGTGGCTTGACTATATGACTTTGGGAGCTTTAAGGTGCATTCACTCTGAATGTGAACATGGAGCGAATGATTTACATGTTATCCACATTTAAAGCCAAAACCATGAGCTTAAATGGCAGAGTGAGTAGAGCGAAGCGATAACTGCAGAGGCACAGTCAAATAGAACATAAATTCACCAGAGGTAACTTTTCTGTCTATCCACTCTCCATTAATCATTCAGTGACTGGATGTGGACACAGAACCCACTGACCTGTAGGGCAGTGGTTCCATAGGAGCAGAGTTTATGAACCCTGGTGTAGACTGATGATTGGTCTTTAGTATTAGCCCTACCACCTTTTTTTTCCAGCTAAAGAGGGTTGCGAGGGTTGGATTTGCATAAACCAGCCAGAAATCCACTGAATAATAACAAAATAGGTCTGAATTTATCTCCAAAAAAGTGTTCAAAGATGATAAACTGGGGCCAAAAACAGAGGTCATTTCAATCTGAAAAACTCACACAAAAGAAATCCAATTAGAAGAGTTTTATTGATACATTTACTTTAGTCTTTGGGGCTCATACCCCGGCAGGAAACATTGGAGTTAAATTTATTTTGCTTTGATATGCATAAACAGGAGTAAGAGTAGGGATGTTTCCCCGAGGCCTGAAACTGGTGTGAAGATGGATGAAGTTGGTCAGTCCATGACTGCTGTATGAAGAGATCCAGTGGACTGCATGAGTTGGTACTAGTGCTTCACTCTGGGAACTGGAAGAATCCAGCTTGGTTACTCAACACAGGTTGCATGAACCTCTCCATGATGAGCAAGCATGGAGCGACAGTGGAGAGGAAAAACTCCCCGTTGGGAAGAAACCTCTGGCAGAACCAGGCTCAACATGGCGTTCTTCTACCGGACCGGTTGAGATGAGACAGGGAACGCAGCAAGAGTCCGGGAGGAATGACCCTCTGATGAAGCCTTAGCTATGATGGTGGAGAAGGGGCTGAAGGTGGGTGAATCGGGTCGTCTGAGTCAAAGTCCGACATGGTGCAACCACTGCCAAGGCTTTGGATAGCAGACTGAGATGAGGGTTTCGCGACCTTTTAAGATGAGCAAAAGATGCTGATTGGGTTTCATGGAGGTGTGGTTCAGAACTGATTGGTTTGTGACGGAGGCGAGCATCATTTATTCAGTTGAACTTCCGCCTAGGCTCCATGAAACAGACTCAAGTTCAGGTACTAACAAAAAACTGAAACACAAACTGACCTGTTATACACGACATGAGGGAAACTTAAATATTGGCTGATCAGACCACTGTTGACAAGGGGGATAACTGACTATTAAACTAACAAACAAGAAAACTGAATTAAACAGACAAATACTTGCCAGACAAGCACTTTTTAAATATTATTTTTTTTTTTTTTTACAAAACTATCCAAAACAAAAAATATCTAAACACATGATAAACAAATGTCCCCTCGCATTACAACAAGTGGTATGACCCGCTGATTAGGCTGAAACGACCATATAAGGAGACGAAAGCTGGAGCTCATTGTAGCCTTCTAGCAACAGCTCCAAAGGAAACTGGCATCTCAAAGAAAAAGAGATGAATCAATCGCAATTTAAACAAAATATAATAAACAAATAAAGTTAAATAATAATAGCCAGTTAAATGTCAAGCTAATGAAAATATTTGAAATCTAATTGTAACTCATTTTTAAAATGAAAAATATACAGTAACCACTCATCTTTAGTATGCGACAGCAGGCTGTCAAAGGGGTTTTTAGTACTATTTCAAGCATTTTGATTGGTTGGATGACTTCAAAAGGAGACGTCTACCCAGGGCATCATTCATAAGAAGATCTCAAACAAGTCAGGAATCAGGTACTTGGCTTAATGTGTATCTCCATCACATGTATATCTACATCAAATGAGAACCCCAGACTATGTGAACACATACATCTCAAAAGCTCAATTATAGAAATTGCAAATTTCTAATTTCCTTAATATATAACTTCACCTCCCATCGGCTGGACATTTTAAGTTTCCAATATATGTCATCATAATAAAATTTGTAGGGATTTAACAAAAAACTTTAGCAAATTCCAATCAATGGCTTTAAAAAGAATGAGAAATCCTTAAGAAAATGGATCCAAAGCATCTTAAATCCATCTCATTGTGCTGATTAAAAAAAGCATTCTGGTTGTTTTGTTTAAAGCACCTTTTATTGGTCCTAAAAAACACATTTTGTCAAGTCATTAAAAGTTTAATCAGTAACAAAATATTTCACAGTTAAAAAATATATATTTCTCATACACTTCCCAAAACAGTAGGAAAATATATGACACGTAAAATATGTATAAACTACACAGTATCACAGATAATTTCCAGGTAATTAACGGTCATAAAGTCCTTTTTTTACGTTTCATTGCTGAATGGATCCAGTCAAGGTAATTGACCACTTTTGTGTAAACTCCAGGTTTTCCCGGCTTGTCGCAGCCCTCGCCCCAGCTGATGATTCCGTACAGGAAGCTGACGTCACCCTTCGCACAGGCCAGTGGGCCCCCAGAGTCTCCCTGAGAAAACACGTCAGTAGACACATCTCACAGGCGTAAACATACATGTAGGGATCAAAGCGAACACATGCAAACAGCTGAGTCACACACTTGAAACCTGATGCACATCTTAAAATTGCTCTCTGCCAATGAGGTAAACAATCCGCTGCGAGAGTCACTGGGAAAAGATGGCGTTTAGATGTTCAGAGTGTCCGTCAACATCGCCAAACTTCCGCTTCTCATAGGGAAGTCCCTGCAGGCATCTCATGTACTGCTCTGCTACTTTTAAACAGAAAATATGTTTTCTTGTAAATAATGACGTTAAACCAAAGCAGTATGTCAAACCTGGAGTGAATCAGAGTTGATCATGTTTTAACTTCACTTCCAGCATTTAATTCATTTGAACAAAATAGTAGCGGCAGGCAGGAAGAAATTTATCCATTTTCCAGATAAATCTCATGAATAATTTAATATTTCAACAAAGAAACGCACACCTAGAGAATTGTTAAGTTTCTCTAAAACAAAATTTCAATGGAAATTAGCCTTTTCTTCACATTGTTTAGATTAACTCTGGGTTTTAAGCTTCACGGTGATATGCAAACTAAACTTCCACTTCAATAAACTTCAAAAAGTGGTGTAAACTCTAAAAAGTTCTACTCAATGCTGCGCAGAACAGTTATAAGCAATGTGATACTGACTGAAAATCAAAAAATTATCTGATTTGACCATTTATACGTACATAATTACACTGAAAAGGCAGATCAGACTAAAAATGTGTCATGTAAACATGCAAGTCAGAGCTTCTCAAAGGGGAAATACGTCACGTTGAGGAGGGGTGCACAAGCACACTTAGGTCAGCTTGGCTCCCTCAGAGAAACTTTAGCCTGACAAGAGTTTACTGTACATGCATGGCGTTCATATCGTCAACAGGCAGAAACCAGGCATTTCAGTAGGACTACAATTTCATTCCAATCCTGCAGAATGGGATCAGAATATTCCTACTGGCATGTTTAAACAAACCAATTTTAATATGATCAGCCATTTATTCTGGTAGGATTGTCAAAAATAGGCAAAATTCTAATTTGGCATGGTATCACTACTAAAAACAAATGATGCTTGGTTATTATTGATATTGTTCATTTTACATTTGGCTTATTGATTTTGCATTTATTTGCACTTTATTTAACAAGTATTAGTCATTCTTTTGTTAAAAAAAGCCTTTTCTATATTGCGATTGAAAAAGGTGAGCCTTTCAGGTTAATAAAAATATATTTTATGCCAGCAATTATATATATTATTTTACTCACATGGAAACAAAATTGGCCTTGAGTATTGAATATTTTCCTGGGGATTGATATCGATTTTGAAATAGTATCGGGACAATATCATCCCTGCATTCTGGTTAATTAAGTCCATGTTACTGTAGCTAATGACAACATTCCTAAGCTGAAGGCCCTCGCTGAAATTAAAGGCATTGTAAAGCAGTGAATTGTTGTTTATTTCTAGGAAGGAAGGCTTAATCCACATTGATCACAAGCAGCTCTGATCAAATGAAGCTCCTTGGACTCACAACACTGATTTATCACTGGGTGCTTTTCCAACACATCATACTTTCCTTCTTCAGTGTTATGCTACTTGGGCCATATACTTTTTACCAAGAAATTGTCTCGCTAATCGGATTGTTTCGATTTTTTCTTAAATAGAATAGTGTGACCCGTGTTCAATTTTACTACATTGTACATTTTTGTTTTTGTTGAATAGCATACCTATTTTATAACCAACTGAAGCTTGTTAATGTGCATAAATATCGCATTCTAAAATATATAGTTTGCTTTAGAAATGTCGTTTTGAATGCGTTCCCTACCTGGCATGCATCCACGCATCCACTGAGCCCTGCACAGATCATGTCGTCGGTGACGTGGT